CCGGCCACGGTGGGATTCGAACCTACGACCTTTGGAATACTAGCCCAATGCTCTTCCAACTGAGCTACGCGGTCAGGACGGTTCGAGTAAGTGATATTTCGGAACAGTATCTAGTTCCTTCTATATCACTTACTCGAACCTTACTCGAACCGAAATGAAAAGTGGCACTCCTGAACACTGTAGTGCTTACAAAATGTTGCTTTGACCCTTTTTGTTTACTGTTGCTACTCGTAACTCGATTTGTTATAAGTTATATTACAGCCTGGGCTAGTGGATGCTCCAAATACCGTAAAACTAAAAAATATAGAGTAGCGAAATATCTGAAATCGCTACATTTTTTAAGCAGTAGCTGTAGTCAGTAGCGAACTACCTTTGTTCAAAAGTAGCAGTAGTTGTAGCTGACTATACATTTTTGAAGTAGTTGTAGTTATAGCGAACTACAAAAATTTTGTAGTCAACCCACTCTTGCACACCAGATGCCTGTATTGGACATTACTCGATTTGGAAACAAAGGCTTTCATTTTTCGCCTCACCATAACTATCCCTTCCATTCATGGAAATTTATATGTTGCTTAATATTTTATTTTTCCATAAAAGCTGTCCATCGACAATCATGCCTAATGTCTTCATAGTTACTTTTACTCTTTTTATATTTGTTCCACCTGGTCCTAGTTATTGTCCAGTTATTTGCTAATTACCGAAACCGAGAGCCAATAGTCATTTTCACGGTTATTTCAACTTCTTCATATGTGCCTTGAATGAAAAATAATTATATGCACAGTTGGAAAGAGCACCTAAAAATATACATGCAGTTTCGAATCCGTATATGTTTTTTGAAATAATAATAAATGATTTGGAACTTGTTAAATGTAGATGTATCATAGCTCCACTATGAGATTAGTCTACAAGATGTTCTGCGAGCTATAGCCTATTACTTAGAAAACATTCTGAGTTCCCGAACTTTCAGCAAGCCCACAACATGCTAGTAGTAATATAGAGGCCAATCGATCCGGATTTTTGTGGTGGCGTGTGGTGGCGTGTGGTGGCGTGTGGTGGCGTGTGGTGGCGTGTGGTGGCGCGGGGCGGCGCATCATCATTAGCATAGATTGTGGTGGCGCATCATCATTAACATACGTCATAATTATATACAATGACG